CCTGAAAGTAACATAAAAACGTAACGAACTCATCTTGATCACGTCCTGGTTACGGGGCTTTGATTTTCCCGCAAGCCACTTTCCCACACTCAGCCGACTATATAACAGCCGCTACGGTATCTGCGTCAAATTCATACGGCACACATGACCGAGCCACCACAGTTGTCCTAGCAATAGTATGTAGTCCACTGTATGCATTCCACTTCGGTGCGACACCTCCGTGTCTGCAACTATGTCGCATCAACCGATGCGCAGTATCCGTCGCAGACAATGTTGATGAAACTGCTCGAGATAGCGCACATCGCTTCAGTATAAAAGGACGGACAGTGCCATGGATTTGTAAAACATCTACTTCGGGCCAACGGTAACCTGGTGTTGTTCGATACTCGATAGTCTAGTTTCCCGAATGCCGCCACTGCCTTCGATACGCAGATACGCAGCACACTGTGTCTGCTGGTCAGCCGAGACCACACTGCAGATGTAGAGAAAGTGGAGGCGGTTTCCAATACTTCAGCACCAATACTGATTCGCGGCAACTTCGCAGGTTGCATCATCGGTGAAGGCTGAAAGAGACAGGCAGTTTTGCTTGTGTTGATGGTGAGCCCAAATTTTGCCGCTGTCGAAGCCAGAGCACCAGTCATGTGCTGCAACTCATCCGCGCTGTGTGCAAACAGCGCACAGTCGTCAGCAAACAGCAACCTACGAATAGTTGTTTTGCGGAATAGTGTTGTCGTATCCAAACGGAGGAGAACCAGCGACCCACCATCAATACGGTGCTCCATGCGAACACCGTAAGCACAAGCCGCATCAAAAACACAAGACATCATGGCATGAAGATTTTTCTTAAACAGGGCAGGACCTAAGACACAGCCTTGCTTCACACCAGGGATAACTGCAAACTCATCCGTAATCTGTCCACACAGCTGCACCCTCGCCCGCATAATACTGAGCAGACATTCAAGTAAACTTACAAACTAACGCGGGACACCAAACTTATCCAACACCAGCACAATGCTTCACGATTCACTGTATTCAATTTCCCTGGTGAAATCAACCAGAAACGTGTACAAAGGCTGGTGTCATTCTCAGCACTTCTCCTGCAACTGAGGAGCCACAAACACCATATCGATGGTGCAGCGACCTGAACCGAATCCACATTGCTCTTCCGCCATGTTAGGTTCCACAACCTGACTGAGGAGGTGGTTAGGCAGGATACGGTCAATCACCTTGCCTACACAACTAAACAAGTTGATAACACGATAATTGGTGGCACATCGCTTGCTTCCTTTGCCCTTGTACAGTGGTAGCACGAACACGACCTTCAACTCAAGAGGCACCTCCGTTTTAATTCCCACGATTTGCACCAGTTGGCGCACCGCATTCACCAACGTGTGTCCGCCGTGTTTCAATACTTCTAAGGGGATCCTGTCAGCACCAGCACACTTGTCTTCCGCAGCTGAGTAAGTGCTGTTTGCGTCTCATCCAATGTCGGCATGTACGCCAGGGTTACCTTCAGTTCGTGCTGTTTCAACCTGTTCAATGTAGGTCAGTCGATCTTTGAACGGTTGTGCAAGAGACAACCAGTGATTTCGCCAGATGTACATTATGTCTGCGGTCTGTGTACTTGATTAGATTGGCCAGCGTACTTGATTTAATTTACACACTGGAATTCCCCGAATACCAAGCTGACCTTTTAGACAGCCTCCTTTGTAGCGACCACAAGGTGGGCAATGTTGGTACCCCAGCTCACCATAAGAAACGCCGACCGATTAGTCAAAGCACTTTTAAGTGAATCGTTTTGCCGCATAACTCTACGCCCAGAGGACACAGGCCTCACTGTCTTCGGATAGCATGGTACTTCCATAAACATCAGAAATTAAGTTTATAAGCAAAGAAATCAACCGCTACCGCTCGAAATGCTTAACCATGCGCGTAATTTTATGTCTTCTTGTTAATGACCCCATACATGGAGCTGATACATCCATCTGAAAATATTCGGTGGCATTGCACCGGCTTTAATGAACGGAGGAAATCGATTGTAATAACAATTTTCAGGGAATGCTGTGGCATAGTCGAGCCGACTATGACGCTTTCTGCTTAAAACTGGTAATAGTGAAGATGGCAACCCCTAATATACTCCGGTACCTTATTGTAAAATGGGTACTCGAAGAGCACACATGCTTTTGGCAAGCACAGTGTTAGATAACCAATAGTTAAGCCCCCACTTGAATGTTCAAGCAGAGTTGTACTTACCTCAAGTAAGCTGTTGTTGCAGTTTTCGATTGTTAGAGTGCACTCAGCCAACATCCCCCATTGCTCAGTTGCATAACCTGCTGGCTAGTTGTACATGTCATTAACCGTCATAGGGGTTCCATCCACAGAAGGTGACCGAGGGAATGAGCAGCACTGACGAGCTCCAATATGTTGAACCGATCGTCTGGGGATTGTTCGAATTGGTGGCTCACCTTTGCGGCTTGTAATTTAATCGTGATGTACCAAATGAAATCATAGCTAAATCCGGTTACTCATTAGTAATATGAACACCATCAATGAATAAAAATCGTCCACCATGTCACATGAACGTGGTGATATCGTTGTCATAAAGTAGGAAAAGTGAAGTACCAAGCACGCTCCCCTGGATAACACCACTGGGGATTGGACGTAATGAAGAGTTATGCTTACACAGTGTGACTATCTGGGAATGCCCATTTAGATATGATCCCATACGATTCCCTGTCTTTCAGTAGCGGATTGTAAAGCACTCGGTTATTTGTCCTTTGCAGATGAACAGGGACGAACAAGAAACGATGATTTTATACGGGTTTAGAAGCACCGCTGTACAAGCCCCAGTTGGGTAGTCTGGTGGGCTAACAAAAATGTTAATGAAAATGTGCAGGTGTTTTTTTACCGTCAAAAGAATAGACTTATTTTATATAATGCAGTTGCCCTGCACTCCGAGTGTTTCCATAGCTTCAATAGGTGAACAGCAATTCCGAAGTATTTCCCAGAGGTACGATGGAGAGTAGCGTCAGGTGAAGTAAGATAAGCGACGGAGTGCGTCGTCCAACGGAGTTTTAAATATGGCTAAAGTGGGTGCTGAAACAACCGAACTGGGGAGAGCGTTCCATGTTTGCCACTCACGAATGGAAAAGAAATTGCTACGGCACACCAGACGGATGTGCTGTTATGCGTATTTCAAGAAGTGGCCTCTAAATTTGGTGTTATTGCTGAACTCCTATAAAGAGCGGCGCACATGATTTATATTACGCAGTACCAAGCACTTCATGAACAAGCCGCCTCGTAGTCGGCCATACCGTCCGCTGAATACTCCAAAACATTTCAGCCTCTGCTCGTATAGAAGGTAGCGCATTCCAATGGTGTATTTAGATGCCCGAAGTTGAGGTTGGTCCAGTGCAGTAAGGTCGTCCTTCGGCCATCGCTGTCCGGCTTGTATTGGGTATTCGACATGGGGCGAACATACACACTTAGCATCTGTTTGAAATTAGAGGTGTCTATTTATCCGAACGCCAGTCGTAGCAAGCCGATGTGCTGGTTACCAGTTTTCGATGTCTTTGCCAATTGCTTGGAAGGACCACAGTTACTCTGAACAAGCATACCAAGGTCGAGTTCGACGGAGGAATACTGCAGTACTTACGTTCCTAGCCTGTAGGAATAGGTACTCTGGTGTCAAATGGGGAGTACCTTGCAGTTGTCCACATGGAACTGTAGCAGATTTCGGGTTGATCCCTCCTGTACCAAATCTAAGTCATGATGGAGTAAAATCCGATGGAGATCTGCCGGAAACCGACGCCATATCTTGATATTTGAAGTGATTTTCCGTGCAATCTCCTTAATAAATACCGAAAGCAATCGCAGATCTAGAACTAAGCCTTAGGCATACCAGACTAGACTGTTCTGGGGTCAGATAAAGAACTGCGGACTCTGACCACTATTTGTCGTTGTAGGAGAAAGTTGGCAATCTAGCTCAAGCGGGTCACCTATCCCGTAATATTGGCGCTCGGAAAGGAGAATCCGATGATCTGAATGATCGAACGCCTTTGACAAATCCAAGTAGATCACATCTACGGCCTCTCCAACGCCAACTGATTCGGTCCAACTAATCCGTGCGATTAATAAATTCGTTGTCCGCGATCGTTGTCGATGAAAGCCGTGTTGCTCGGAAGCAATAATGTTACGAGTTTTTTAGCTAACACACCAGCTCATTGGCAACGATGCATTCCATGCTTTTTGACATACATAGAGAAGAGAAACTAGACGGTGGTTTGAGGGCTCAGTTCTACTTCTGCCTTTGTGGATCGGTTAATGCTTCCACATCGTAGAAATTTGGTTCTGTTCTAAGCAACACTGAAAGAACTGGGTCAAAGGTTTTTCAGTTGTTTTGCTGCTGCTCCTAGTGCCTCTAGGCGAATGGTGTCGACTCCCAGGGCGTTATGGTTACGCAGAGACATCTGGTACTGCAATACGGCTTCGCCGTTCAAAGATATGTGTGTGAGTCCTGCAGGCGCGAAAACGTTAAAAGTGCATACTTGGTGTCAGTCGATTCTGTGATATAATCCAGACAGTTGAAGTGACATGTTGTTCAGGGATGTCTGTCGCGGAACCTATGTCAAGATTTGGTAAACAGTCCAAAATGACAGAGCAGCTCACAAGTACATTTTTACCCAATTACTCAAACAATCTACCGATGCTTGTAGTATGATGGATAGGCCGATACTTAGTGGCGTTCTGTTTGGGCCCCCTTTTATGACCAGGTATAGTAGACGATGTCTTTCGTTAATCCAGAAAATGGCTAGCTTCTAATGGCAACGTGAACAAGTTCAGCAGAAGCGGTGATATGTCAGGTCCACCAAATATAATGGCTTGTTGGTCACTGTTATAACGTTATATAAAACGGACAATTCTGAAGCAAATCTAGCACGGCTGCCCTACATGAAACATAACAAATGGCATACATTTCACACATTTCATATCCTTTACAGAATGAGCAATGGAGCAATCCAGCTGAACCGACATGGCAGCAGAAGTGAATTTAATGAATTTGGCAGATTTAGAAGGCACATATGTGTCTCAACTTGGTGGCAAAGAAACCGATGGTTCTGAGTTTGTTCGCAGTATGATACGCAGAGAATACACACGCGACAAACAGTGAGTTGAGTGTGTTCGTTTGTTATACTTTTGGGTAAACCTGCTCTCACCGTTTTAGCACGGAAACACAAGAAATTTGTCTAAATAACAGAACGCAATTTCTAATAAGTGTTTCCTCTCATCCAAAAAATGTATTCTTGTATTAAAATGAAAGTGCACAGCTTAGTTGCTTCCGCGAGCAAACTGAAATCAAATGAAGACCGCTGTGGTGAAAGACGCTCCCTGTACTTGTATTCCAGATCAGTTACACGACTGATGACTTAAAATCATACCACTGGTATATGTTGTCGACGGATCCTCAATAATCCGTTAGTTTGTCGTGCTCTTCAAATAAGCATAGAATGTAAGCCTAATAAATATATGTGGCGGCAGCTATCAAAATACTGATTGCACAATTGAATCACAAGCACAGACTTGTTCGAGCTTGCGATTGAACGACGGTCTTTGGGTTACCAACAGTCGCATTGTAATGCTGGGAGTGGGGATAGAAATGCCGCTCGGTGACTGCATCTACTAGGCTACCGGATGCAGGATGTAGTCAACTTACTGGGAGCATCCACTGCAAGGATCTGTATTTTGTGCGGTCAATAAAGTACCAAGTGTGATATTCTGAAATCGAATGTCAACAAACCAAGCACAAATCTAGTTGCAATTTTTGGCAGTTAATTCCCTTAAGTAAGTCGAAAGGGCGGAGCTGACTAAGAACTCTCCTTCTGCTCTCTCTGTCATACAATGAAACAATGAAACAAAAATACGATAGTCGGTAGATGCACGCATTTCACAGTACCATTAAAAATAATCGGTATGCAAATAATGCCCAAATTTGGCGTGATCAAATAAGCAAAGAGACAAAGCGAACGACGGAAGTTCCACTCATACTTTCATGATGGCCTTAAAACAACCAAGAATTGTTTTTCCACACACAGAGTCGGCTTCATCCGGCTTAGTACAACAGCCTCGTCGAAACGCAGCAAACGGGTAGTATGGTGCAGTAACGTAATGGTGAAGGCTAATCCAAGCTGTATACGATGGCGGGTGACCAGTAGTTGATTACGTATGAGAAAGATGGCGGTCTGGATGAGCACGGAATTTCAGATCAAAAATACTGATCTTTTTAACGCAGAACCCAAGTTGGCACGTACTCCTTTATTCGTAATGTGTGTATGTATGTAGCATTTGTTGCACATGTTGCAGAACCCAGTGACTTTGGGAAGAGTAGTCAGTTTCGCAAACTTCGACGGCGACTGACCCGAGAGCTCCGTCGCATAAAAAATGCATGGTGGACAGAGAAGGCGAAGCAGATGGAATGCTACGCTGAACGCCGCCAACACAAGAAATTCTTTGACTCCTTGAAGGCGGTGTATAGACCGAGATAGGAGCCGCTGAGGACCCTGGTCGATGGTACTTCAGGCGCTACCTGCATACAGACTGCAGATATAATGCAGACCTGGCGAAATCGCTTTGACTGTCTCTTGAACAACCGTTCAGAGATCGACTGGCCTACATTGAACGGCCTCAAGCATTACGATGGGAAGGCGAGTCTGGTGACACGCCGACACTGGATGAGACGCAGAGAGCACTTGCTCAGCTGCGAAACGGCAAGTGTGCCGATGCCAACGGGATCCCGCCTGAAGTATTGAAATACGGCGGACCCGCGTTGTTGACTGCGCTGCACCACTTGATGCAACGTGTATGGATTGAGGAGGAGGTGCCTCCTGAACTGAAGGATGCCCTTGTGCTACCACTGTACAAGGGCAAAGGAAGCAAGCAAGACTGCACGAATTATCGTGGCAGCAACTTGCTGAGTTGTGTAGGCAAGGTGATTGCCCGAATCCTGCTCAACCGCCTCATAGGTCAGGTTGTGGAACCTAACGTGGCGGAGGAGCAATGTAGATTCGGTTCAGGTCGCTGCACCATCGATATGGTGTTTGCGCACGTCAGTTGCAGGAGAAGTGCTGAGAACGACACTAGCCTTTGTACGCATTTTTGGTTGATTTCACCAAGGAAATTGAATACAGTAAATCGTGAAGCATTGTGGCTGGTGTTCGGTAAGTTTGGTGTCCCGCGTTAGTTTGTAAGTTTACTTGAATGTCTGCACAGTATTATGCGGGCGAGGGTGCAGCTGTGTGGACAGATTACGGATGAGTTTGCAGTTATCTCTGGTGTGAAGCAAGGCTGTGTCTTAGCTCCTGTCCTGTTTAATATATATCTTCATGCAATGACGTCTTGTGCTTTTGATGCGGCTTGTGCTTACGGTGTTCGCATGGATCACCGTATTGATGGTGGGTTGCTGAACATCCATCATTTCGGTGCAAGAATAGTTTGTGAGACAACTATCCGTATGTTGCTGTTTGCTGACGACTGTGCGTTGTTTGCACACAGCGCGGATGAGTTGCAGCACATTACTAGTGCTCCGGCATCGACAGCGGCAAAATTCGGACTCGCCATGGACACAATCAAAACTGTCTGTCTCTTTCAGCCTTCACCGGAGGTGCAATCTTCAATATTGCCGCAAATCAGCATTGGTGCTGAAGTATTGGAAACCACCTCCCACTTCTGCTACCTTGGTAGTGTGATGTCGACTGATCAGCAGCTACACAGTGAGCTGCGTATTCGCGTGTCGAAGGCAGCGGCAGCATTCGGGAAGCTTGAGTACCGAGTGTGGAACAACCATCAGATTACCATTGGCACGAAGCTGATGGTGTACAAATCCATGGTGCTGTCCGTTCTTCTATACGGCAGTGAAACGTGGACGATGTACCGGCGGGATGTGCGATATCTCGTGCGGTTCCATCAGCAGTGCCTGCAACGCATTTTGCGCATCGGTTAGGGCGACAGAGTTGCTGACACGGAAGTGTTGCGACAAAATGGAATGTATGAAGTGGACTGCATACTTTTACTGAGACACCTGAGATGGCTCGGTCATGTGTGGCTTATGGATTCAACGCGGATAAAGAAACAACTCTTATACAGTCAGCTGAGTATTAGGAAGCGGCAGGTAGGGAAACCAAATTTACGTTACCAGGACATGATTAAAGTGAGCCTCACACGTTCTAATCTTGATTTCAGGTCATGGGAATCAAAGGTGGTTTATCGGCGTGCATGGCGCGATCTAATCATGAAGGCAGTTGCGGAAGTGCGGAAAAAAGATCTCATACATGCAGAGAAGAAGCGGCAATTGCGGAAGCGATGGGTTGTACTCCATCGACATCGAGCGCATGGTGCTGTAGCACGTGCGGTCGCGAGTGCCTGAGTCAGGCAGGCCTAGTGAGCCATAAGCGAGGCCACTCTGGACCACTACCGAAGCGACCAGGGGTCCTGTATAGACATTAACTACGAATTAGTTATTATCCCGATTTTCAAGAAAGGGGCTCGCAATTCATGAGTAAATCTTCGCGGAATTAGTCTTCTTTCAGTTGATTCTAAGTTATTGGCATCCATTCTGCTTCGTAGGCTATCCCCAATACGTAAATCATCCTACCGTGAAGAACAAGCTGGTTTCCGTCCTGGCCGCGGATGTGCGGACGAAATCTTCACGCTCCGCCAGCACCTAGAACATCGCCACATTTAACACAGGCCCATTATCTTTGCATTCCTAGACATACGTGCCGCTTTTGACTCCGTTGATCGACCTGCTTTATGGCGTTGCTTACCAAAAAACAGGATACCAGAGAAGTATACCACCATCTTAGGAGCACTTTACCTTCATACATCCGGCAGAGTGAGGGTCTGTGGAAAGCTTTTCTCGCCATTCGCTGTCAATAGCGATGTGCTACTGGGCTGCCCTATGCCCCCATTCCTCTTCAACTTTGCAATCGAAGATGTTCTGTCGAATACTCTAGAAGCTTTCCCACTCTTTGGCCTAGAGCTTCTATCGGGTGGGCGCGCGACCGAGTTAGATTGTACTGATGATATCGCCTTACCTAGTGACGATTCTTAGGGTGTGCAACTCATTCTGGATCGTTTGGCGGTTGAAGCATCTAAGTATGGCAAGAGCTTCACCCCATCGAAGTGTAAAGTACTGCTCAAGGATTGGCTTTCACCTGCTCCCGTGCTCACTCTCGAAGGTGCACAACTTGAACAGGTAGACAGTTTCGTCTACCTTGGGAGCTGTGTTTTCGCTGACGGCACTATCAACAAAGAAGTTTCTCTTCGTATCGCTAAAGCTCGATCAGCATTTGTCAATCTGAGACACTTGTGGCGTCGTCGCGACGTCTCATTTTCACTAAAGGGCCGCGTTTACAGCATATCTGTTCGTTCAGTATTGTTGTATGGGAGCGAGTCCAGGTCGATGCGCGTGGAAGACATGCGTCGTCTTTCTGCATTCGACAACGGTTGCTTAATGAGGGCTGCTCGTGGTTGATGCTAACATAGAGTAACAGTAACGACGTTCGATGTCGCATCTTGGGGAATGCGAGTATTTGCTCAAGAGAACGAGCAGAGATCCAAGGCTTCAAGGGGCGTCGAGTTAGGCCGCAGCATGACTGTCCGGAAATGGTCATTGCCTTCCGTATACAAGTCCAGTGCTGTTCTACTTCTTGCGGTGGATTGCAACTAAGTGCATATGCCAATGACGACTGATAGCTCGTCTGGACAGAGGAATCAGTTAATCTGTTTACATCAATCTGGCGGTGCTTCGTGTTTCGGGATCCTCCAAAAAACTTACAGATTTTCGCGCAGACCAGATCATGATCTGAGTCAACGAAGGTGGACCAAAATGACCTGCAGTCCAGTACGCTGCCGCGCCATCTGAAGCTAATTGCAATGTTTCAATTTGAGACCACGGTTGTGTTGAAGAAGGGGGAAGTCATGTTGAGGAACGCTTCTTCGTACGCCTGAAGTTAGTGCTCGAAATAAACAGACGGTTGTCTTCGCACAATGTGAGAAATCTCTCTCCGTTATCAGAGCGGTTCTCATCGAGCGCGTGATGACCACCAAGGTGGCGTTCGTATGGTAACAGGCGGCCAACTCGTGCATTAAAATCCCCAGCAAGGATAACGACATCCAACTTTTAGCATTAATCAAGAGCCGTTGTAGATCCCGATAGAATTCGTCCTTGACCGAGTCGCCACTGCAGTCAGTTGGAGCGTACACGGAAATCATAAACAAGTTGTGTCTGTCTTCGCGGTGCCAGTTGATTCTACATGAACCCCGAAGCCGAACTGCACATAGTCGGCTGTTAATCGGGAACCAATCCAATAGTGCCGCGTCGACCTTGTCACTTAGTGCTATACCTACACCAGCCAAACCCGCTGAGGCTGCTTCTGGATCGTTGAATTGACGCAGGTGATACCTGCTTTCGTGGACATTCGGGGGATGGCAATATAATCACAGCGCTATGATTTTGCAATCGGGTTTCTGAAAGGCAGCAGACATAAATACCGAGGGATAAGGGTGCGCGCTAGATCAGCTTGCTGTCCAATCTGCATGAGTGTCTGAACGTTGAAGCATGCCAGACGGAATGAGGATCGAGGACGAAGAAGAGTCATAGGTTGGACTCCGTGGTTTGCGGCGCAACCAGAATCTCAGCCAGATTGTTGAACACATGAATCGGGTAACGGAAAGTAAGGATTGTTAGCAAACAATTGACATGTGATGAAGTCGCGTGAAGGTATGAAGCAGAAACGGTAGCTGATGAGCACGTTGTAGTACAGTCGATGGTTTTGTGAGCGTGATACTGCCCGGTTACCCAAGCCGAAGTGGACAGCCGAATTAGGGACCTCACCCCTTGTCTCTGGCTAAATAACCTACCCACAAGGCAGCAACGAGTTCAGGAAATCGCACCCATTGGAAGGCATTGACTGAATGATCAGTTCATGCGTCATTCTTTTGGTAGATCACTAAACAGTGGCCCAATACTCCCCATGAAATCGGCACAATTGCTGGACTACAAAGCCCCACCGAAGTGGAACATTGTCGCCGAACACTTTGCCGGAACGGGGTACACCTGAACCACCTAGCTGGCACCACGAGAAGGTAGTTCGGCAAGCCAACCCTTTGTTCGGTCAGGCAAACACCTATCGGTTCTGCCTATGTATCTGGCTCCGTATTTACGCACGAATTGGTATGCGTAGGTTGGGCTGGCACTGATTGTTTGAGCTATCTTCGTTGGAGGCACCGGCAAGTAGTGAATTCTGTTAATGACCACAACTTGAGTAGCACTGCAACTTCTGTGTGTAGTAAGAAGTAAGCGTTTAGTGGTCAGCCTACAGAAAGTCGACTTGGCCCTTCCAATACCTGCACATCATCAGCTTCATATCAGTGCCTTACAGGCAGACACTTGTGAAGACATTAGTTGGACGAATTTGCTCGGCTGATTGGCTAGTCGACAAGCTTAAATTAACTGCACTATGTAAGGCAAATTGTTACCCTCGCAGATGCATAGAGAAACAGGTAACTGCGAGGTCCGAGGAGTGTGGTGCAAGAGGCAAGCATAAAGAGAGCTATTTCAGGTTGCATCTCATCAGTGTATTTACTGCATCGTAACTAGTCTTGTGCTGGGTTCGTTGACATTTGATTTCAAAATAGCACAGTTGATCTTTTATTGACCACATGAAATGCAAATCGTTGCAGCTGAGCATCTCAGCAAGTCGACCACATCCTGCATCACGTAGCCTAATAGATTTAGCCACCGAGCGGCATTTCCATCACCGCTGCCAGCGGAAATTATCCTATATTTTGCCAAGAGAATTCATCAGTAGAACCGAACTCAGACCGTTTTTCAATCAAGGCGGGTTGTCCCGAGAAACTTTGCTTACTGTTAACCCTAACTCATTGGGTAAAATTAAAGCATAGTAATGTGTTATATATTCTAACTTACTGGCTTCTGCATCGAGCCCCATACAGCTTCTTTCCCATAGGGGGCGCTGCGGTATTGTATGCCATTCTGCGACGCAAGTTAGTGATTCCAAGCTAACTGTATTGAAGCTTCATGCCAACAGCAGTTAGGCATTTTGGAAATCATGCACAGCGCTGCAAGCGCGGTCTATTAGTCTTCGATTCAGCTGTCATACGGTGTACTCAGTGATATCGCTTATCGCCGCCTATTTTCCGCTGTACTGTTGCTATCTAAACAGTTGATATATGACGATAACATCATGAATCACCTGGCTTATTTCCACAGAGATCCGAATTTATTCGCAATCTATCTTAAACTGTGTGGGAACAACCGTCACATGGGTGCTGTGAGACTTCTCGATGCGGATATTCCCCCTGTTTGTTCAGCTTTGTTGCTGAAACCTTGCATCAACGTGTTGGATTTACGATACAATCGTCTGACGGATGCTGCAGCCAGTGTGTTAGCTGATCTGCTTTCGGTAACCATTTTTATATCTTCCAGTAGTCTCTGTATTAGTTGTTTATTGCTTGGAACTAACTTTACCTTCTAAAAGCTAAGTATTGTGCGTGCAGGTCAACTGATGTCACCGCTTGAAGGTTTAGCAAACAGGAATTACTGTGTTCTTTCCGGAATCTTTACCGTACTGAGACCCTAATAACTCAAATTTTTAATACTTCACTATCGATATGTAGATCAATCTGATCTGAGTATTGCATGCGGTTTCTTTTGATTCGACTTTAAGAAACTATAACATGTGAATTGCCATCCCAAAATTACTTCATCACATCATACCTAACCCCAACCATTATTAGCCATTACACCATCAGCAGATTATGCAGGCAAAAATGTCAGTTAATAATCTCTCCAAGAACTTGCTCCTAAGCACTTTCCAGATGACACACTATAATGATCCATCCCCAGTCGCTGGTCCCCAGAATAAGAATTCGTCAAAGGACCCACCTTCTGCGCTGCAAAAATAGCTTGTAATCGGAGTAAATCATAATTTAAACAATACAGTCTGTTAGGAACTCATCCTTTTATCTTCCAGGAATAGAGTAACACTCGTCAGGAGGCAGCACTAGTGCATTCATGGAAAACGGCTCTTTCTATGTGAGATATTTATTTCGGCGCCCCGCGACGTTATGTAGCAGTGCGGTACAAGATGCGAAAGTTATTTAGTAGTACCTTAGTGTCAGTAGCAATCTGGAAGAACGACTATGACCTCATGCACCGTTGCTTACATACAAACTAAATAAACTTTAATGATTTTGTTCAGGTGGAATGAGAAATAAGCATCAAGGTGGCTTGGCTTGAACACTACTTCCATATGGCTTAATATTGGATTCAAAGCAGTGGTTTTGCAACTTTTTGCTTGAAGCCGTCCTTTGATGGCACCGGCACCATGTATTTTGTGACTTATATAGCCTTTAGCTGGTACCTTCAGTAGGAATGCAAATCATCACCATTCGAATGCGTGTTTGCCTACTAACTCATCGTAACCTCGGAACAAGTTACAAGCGATCGTTAGATTGAAAAACGTAGCTCTGTCGACTTCTCCTATTCAAAACCAAACCAAGCTCCTACAAAACTCGAGTCTAGATTGTGATGTGGAAGGAGTCTGCAATCTACTTACCAGTCTCGGCAGCACGAAGCCTGCCTGTCCATAAGGGCTCCATACGCTGATTCGCAAGTAACTGTCGCCAATCTTCTCGCCTTAGTAAATGCTCTGTTCAACAGCCGGCTGTCCGAAGGTGCATTGCCGAGCGACTGGAAATGTTCGGTAGTGAAACTGATTCCGTAGGGCAGTGACCCAAGCAGGGCGAACTATTACCGGCCGACTGTCTGACATTCGTTTTGGCCAAATTACTCTCGAAGATAGAGAAAAGGAGTCTATTGCAGCTGCTGGAGTCAACAAATGTTCTAACTACCGCGCAGTATGGCTTCATAAGTGATCGTTGCTTGATCATCAACCTGCTGTCAATGCGGCAGAAATGGTTGCAAGCCTTGAACCGGAGAAATCGGTGGATGGATCTCAGTACAGAGTTGAAAAAAATAAAAATAATGTGTCAGCTTATACGCCGTAACGGCGCTTCGCTGCCGCGCGACCACCACCAGTCGCGCGCGGGCTGAGTATACCGCGAGGACGCCCACCCCTACGCGGATTCGAACCGGTGATCTTATGGTTGGAAAGCAAACGTGCCGACCACTCGGCCACCGGCCGAGTTGAAAAAAGTGAACCATGAGGTCCTGCTCAACAAGCTGCCTATGCATTACAATGAAGTGCTCTTCAAAGGATTTTTTAACCCACTGGCCGTCGTAAAGGGTGATCAATGGCTCCATATCTGTTGCATCGAGCAGAGTAGATAGGGAGTGAGAACACCACTGCCATGTTTTGTTGTCTTGTTCAGACATCCTTGTTTTCACCCCCTCAATAGTTGGCCATTCTCTATCTTAATTCGATAGTAGCTTCCCTTTTAGTTTCTTCACGCAATCACAAGTCGTCGCACGTATTCAGCCGTAAAGTCTATGTCTAACCAAGCAGACAATGTCAGCTCATCTGTTTTTATTTGGAGTCCTCAATACTGGCCAAAACTACCATACCTCAACATGCGCATCCCGTTGCAACTCGGGCAACACGCAGCAATTGCATGTATATCAGAAACCCCGTCGATCGGTATGTTGGTCGGGAAGTCGCTCGACAAATTCTAGATAAGTGCCCAACCTATGCCCCCTCCCACATGCGACACTTTTATCATTGCGCGTGTCGGGAGATGGAGTGGTCTACAGAGCTCCTGCAGGACCTGGCTCCCATCTAGTACGCTCCATGCAAAACCCACAGCAGAGCCACAAATTATCTCCTTTTGGGTGACTTCAACGCCTCCGGCATAATCTGGAGCCTTCACAGTGATCTCCCACTGGACTACTTTGAAGTTGGTCTTCTTGATAGCGTTCACGAGTGCAACCTGACACAGCATGTCTTGAAACCAACACGGATGGTCCCTGGTCAGACACCAAACATTCTAGATTTGGATTTCACCTCGGCCCCATCTGATGTCACAGATCTAACGATCCTCCAACCTCTTGGGAACGGTGCTCACTGTACAGTCGCTTTTGCGTGGACACGACGCCTTTCAATGCAGGATCAGGGGACATTGAGTCAAACTTTCTGTCGCACTGACAAGCCCAGAATAAGGACGGCTGCAAGCAACATGGACTGTAGTGTTCTGCAGTCCCTGGAGCTTGATGACGCATCGGAACGCCTATGATCCATGATGATGATGCTCGTTGCAACGAGACTGGACCTTAACGTGGTGCGACAGTTTGCGTATCTCATTGACCCATTGAGCTATACTGGATGGTGCTTCCGGGCATTTTGAGAGTTACTTCTACCAGCTTGGCCAATGAGGAGAAGTCAGACAAACTCAGTCTCTTGGTCCTCTAGGTCGGGAGTCTGAAATGGGATGTCGTCGATTTCTGTAAAACTAAATCATTGCCACCTCCGCGCTGCCTTGCCGACAGGCTTTTGAGCCAAAGGCTTTGGATGAGTACTCTAAGCGTCCTTCTGTCTAGGTCTGGGCGCCCTGACAGTATTTCAGCACGCATACAACCATGACTTCTTCTTCATACATAAACTTCATCCTGCATCGGCCGTCGTGCAGATTATCAAGGGTTGCCTTATGTGCTGCATACAGCAGGGAGCATAAACGAAACATGCTACTGCTGGCGCCTCCTTTCTTTTCCACATGTTTCTCTTACTCCCATCCCGACCCCCATTATTAAACTTCCTTCTATAATTCCCAGCTTAATTGACAGCAACCGAGTTGCTACTGGAGTAAAACCATCGGCAGCCACCTTCCCAGTACCCTCATTCGGAAGCCTATCGGCAACAGCCCCTTATAAGGACTCGCTGTCCCCTTTCCACGGTGACGTTCGACGTTCTCCCTCTAAGACAAATAGGTCAAGAGGCTGCACTCGCACGCAATTTGGACATATTGGGCGTGGATGTGTTGTGTGTCCGAAACTAAGATCAACAACCCTAATGGGGTTGTTGAATTGACTGCACCCGGCTTACCCTCTCGTTATCGGTCGCATGCATCCGGAGACCCCGATGCAACCCATATGGATCAAGCTGGTGTAAGTATCAGTCTAAGCTCCAAGGCTGAGCCATCGCTGGTTGATTGGATTCCAGTGAACAACCGTTTATGTGCAGCCCGTTTGACGACATCAGCTAAGGTTGGTTCAAGAAGTAGTACAAAACGCTGTTTGTTTGTGATTTCCGCTTATGCTCCCACCGACTTCAGTTCAAATGCTGTCAAGGACGCATTCTATCACAAATTGAACGTGCTACTACGTACTGCTAACAGTTCAGATATTACAGTAGTTGCAGGAGAGATGAACGCACAAGTAGGGCGTCTGAGCTCTTCAGAAGCTCAGCTGGGTGGTAATTATGGGCTTAACTCCGAACGGACTGACAGTGGCGAGCGTTTGCCGCAACTGTGTACAGAGCACTAGTTGTTTCTTAGTAACATTGCTTTTAGGCACAGTGGGCGCCGAAGTGCCACTGGGTGTTCGCTGGTAGCTAGGCAGCGACGGACCCAAATCGACCACATAGCCATAAGTTACAGGTGGCGTGGTTCCATCATGGATTGCTGCTCGTGCTGGAATACCTGTCTAGACTCCGATCATGCTTAGGTACGCTATCGTTTCTCCATGAACTTGACCGGGAGGAACACCAAGTGCCTATCCAGATTGGCAACTGAGAAATTGTCTCAGTCCTTGGGCAGACAAACCTATCAAGACTCACTGAGCACTGAACTTTCACTCCGTTATCCTATGACACTGATTTTCAGTGGGATAGGGTCTCGGCCGCCATGCACGACGCAGGAACATCTGCTTGTGGTACTAACGATCGTCACCGCACCAGTCACTGGATATCTAAGAGCTCGATGAACCTATTGGAATCCAGGAGAAACCCGGTTGGCTTTGAGCACAATGTGACCAGACGGGCTATTAGGCGTGAACTAAAGCGGAGCCTACATGCTGACAAGGGTGGCTGGTGAATCAGCCGGGCTCAAGAAATGGATGAGGCAGGAGCAGTAGGAAATTATCGCAACCTCTTCTAGCTGATCCGCACGACTGATCCCAGGAAACCAGGCGTCTGTAAGAGAATCAGATTTAGAGCGGGTGCACTGATACACAGTAAAGAGTGCCGGAGGGCGGAAAATTTGCAAGATCATTTCAGCTGGCTCTCTGCTCTCGGACCTCTTCCTACTCAAGTGATGCAGATCGGTCCATGGACGGTTAGTTTAGAGCCTCCGTCGGAGGCCGAAGTCCGAAAGGAGATGGTAGCCCTCAATCGTTTTCGTGCCGCTGGCCCAGATTCCCTCTCACATGCACTATTTAAGGATGGAGGTGAGTTCCTCTGCAGAGCACTGACCACCCTATTCGAAAGTATCTGGAAGAAACAATGTCCAGGCT